AAAAAGCATTAGCTCTTAATCTGTGTATTCTTTTCTCCATCATAAATTGGTTGACCACTACCAAGTCTTTCACAGCTTTAGCCTTCTCAATTTTCAGCTGAAGATCTATTTTATTGCATGTACTGCAAACGTCAGAAGCTGGTGATGAAAATCCGATATTTAATTCATTGAAAACTCTCCTAAACATAGATTTCTTAACTTTAAGATTATCAAGTACAGAATCATTGTATATTAGCCACAACTTCTTAATGTTTAAGTCTGCACCAAGATAAATCCTTTTCGATTTTTTTCGATTATAGTGGCTTTCTTTTCCTCTTAAATTTCTCAAAAAAAGGCGGACTGATTCCTTGTTCGCAGCAGATTTGTGACTCTTCCTATCGCCACCCCTCTGATCCTTAACAGCCTTTCCCTCTTTCACCTTTTTAGAAATATTAGTCAATCTTGTTCCCTTCACCATGGTAATATGCATGAAAAGTTTCCTACACACAGGTATAACTTTACCGGTTGATGAAAGTATAGAATATTGTACACTAAAACTTTTAGCCTTTGATTTTTCAGAGGTAGGCCTAGGCCTTCGCCGCTTTATGTTACGTTGATTTATCCAACTGGCAATGGTGTTATCTTGCGTGTTTTTGTCAGGTATTTTGTAGAGGATATTTCGAACAAAAATAGCATCTATAGGCCTAACTAATGCACATTTCATACCTTTGTTCATGTGTTTACATGGAACAAACACACGACATCCCACTGGAGTACTGTATCGCTTAAGCTTGGCTCTAGTTTTTTTATCCACAGTCTTTTTATTTTTACGAGATCCTTCATTGGCATCGCCCACTCTCACTAAGTTTTCTTCATCCATGGAAAATTTCAATTTTATTTAATAAAAACTACTATAATAATATTAAAATTAAACCACAGTGCAATACAAACTCAATACTCGCTATCGACATAACCTAGAGGGAAAACACAGACAATGTGTTGACATGGTCAAATCACGTGACCAAATCGGGGCACTCCTATTAGCTGAATGGACATGTGGTGGTATGATTGAAACCAACTGTGGACATGATTTCATTTGATTTGGGAACCTAATATTGTGTATTCATTTTAAACAGGACATGATTTTTTTTAACCGAAACCGAAAACACCATAGAATAGGATTCACTCTTTATATTATGAAACAGCTGCTAACTCATTTTTTGATTTTTATGGACATGATTGATTTTGATTGAACACTCCTCAATTGTAAATTTTTCAATCTAAACATAATGACCCTAAAAGACTCGTAAGCACTAATTTTACGTTGTTTTAAAAACAAATTATCTTATCTACATTTTATTTGAAGCATATTTTCATTTGAGTGTGTTTTTCGTGCAACTCGGTCATAGCAATTAACCCACTTTCTGTCGGTCGGTTGAAAAAGTTAATTTTCAAAAATATCCCAATTTATCTCTTAATTCAGCCGTCGCTATCCTCATCTTTCCAGAAAGGAAGTTGCACATTAAGCTACTGCCGGCGAACGGTTGTCTCCGAGGACATCCCGCACATCTTTTGTTTCATCCCGTCACATTTTTTTCAGGGCTCACTTTGTACTTTGTTTGTTAATTAGGCGGTAATTAGGCTGTTACTTTTTTTCGGGGTCTTGACTTTTGCGGTTTGCTAGATTGGGTGGTCTGATTTTTTGCGAGAAAAAAAGGTTTTAACGGAAAACAAATGATCGTTAATTTGTTGGTATGGATGATGGATGCTAATGAGAATTTAAGTAGCAATTAATCATTATTACATGTCGGATGAAAGTACTCGGATTACACAAGTGCAGTAATTATTAATGCTAAAAAAATGCATATGTGTTGTTGCTAGATTGCGTACTAAATAAGATGAGTGGTGAAGTTATATTTCAAAATAGTTGATCTTATTATTAGGATTTTTTTATGTTTATTAAAAAAAGTTTAATATCCTTTGTGTTTCTCAGAAATGACTATGGTCTGTTTTTAAACCAGGAGGAGTAAATTCAAAACTTTCCGCGCCATAATGCTTGTTTGTAATTGGTCGAAGCGCAAGGCAAGTTTACTCCACTAAATTATGACATATTGACACTAATGACATTTGTAAAATTTAAAATTCAAAATTTATATCGACAATTTTTTGTATTTTCTGTGTTATTTCTTACATCTTTAGATTTTTCGTTTGCATTTATATAAAAAACAGTTCTTTTCAGAACTATTTAGCGACATATTAGTGTTATTAAGATAACAATATGTAATTATTCTTCTCCACCTTAAAAACGCCGAGTAGATTTGGATCATTTATCATCAAATGTGAAATAATGTACTATAAAACATGTACAAACATGAAAATTGATAATTCTGGAATAAAAATAACAGCCACGGTAGTAAAAATAATACAGGCAGCAGGTTAGTTTTACAGAATAGTTATTATTAAAATCAAAACTTACTAAAGTAATGTGCTAATTTTAGGTGTTGCGAATTCAACTATTTACAACAATAGAATTTAGAACAATTAAATAATATAAGCAGACGGGAGCAGTTAAATGTCCTAAAAATATTGAAGGTCGACCTTATATTCTTGCAACAGGATGAAAAGAGTTAAAACATCTATACGACAGATAGTACACCTACACAGCTTCTTTTTCAAGAATGAATGCTCACTTTAGGTAAGATTTTAAGTGAAATTAACAACCGCTCAGATCTTTCAAAATATGTGTCGTTCATTTCTATATAAATTCTTGAAGCAAATTAATTTGAAGTAATTACAAATATCGGTATGTAACTATGGGTTATCTACAAATTATATTATATTATTATCAGGTATATTATTCTGCCCTACTAAGCGAAAAGGGGGTATCTGTAATTTACATTGTTTTGAGTTAAGAAGGTATTTAGATTTCGTTTATTCGCATTGTTGTTTTGTGTATAATATTTAAGTTTAAATCGAAAATATACATAGTTTTCTTTTGTTTTTTTTTATAAATATAATAAAATTAGGCCATTTAAATTTTTTACTAAAAAAATTGTAGTTACCCCCATTATTAAGAAACCATTATAGGTTAGATACTAAGATAAAAACACAGTATCTACATGTACACATTTATTTTTACATGATTTGGTTTAATTATCAAAGTAATTTCCACAAAATAACTTAAATACTAAATTAATTATTAATCATCATCATTATTTTGCTCAAGGTACTGAGTGGTAGGTATTTCTTTCCAAAAATTTAAACGATTTTTTGGCATGATGGCATTGTCGGCTTCTAAAAGCTTTGAAATAATATTATTTCGTCTTTCTTCTGTGATGCCTCTTGGGTTTTCTTTGGTTCCTGGAGCTGGTATTATTCCAGTCTTTGTAATTTTTGCATTCAAAAAATTTAATGTTAAATCAGGGCCACTAAAATTGTTTTTATAAATTAGTGACATTGATCCCTGTGGGCTGTGATTTGAACAATATCCTGAATATATGGCCGCTCACTATGTGCTTTTTTAAGTTTATAAGCAGATGAAAAATCCTGCCAGTCATAGAAATCATGTAGTTCCATTTCCAAAACTATAACCCTCCCAGAATTAGCTTGTAGAACAGCTTTTTTAAAATCTGGAAAGTCGTAAACTTTCTTAGTTTTTCGTAGAGATTTTTCTACTTGATGGTGGAATGCGTCGGCACTCATAAATGTGTGACCTGGTTCGAAGTAATTTATTTCTATTACTTCAGCAGAAATATCAGTTGAGTTTATTATATAAAGTAAAAACGTAAAAAACGCCCAGTTTTTATTTTGAGAGGTACAATTATCTACCCATAGAACAATTTTTTTCGCATCTCTCTGAAATATTAAGAATTTGTGATAGGTACTTATTATATCTTCTTTTTTTCGCCTTGAATTGCCTCGTGCCAAATTGCAGCTACAGGTTTAATGTTTCTGTTTTTAGTCCCTACCGGAACGAAACTTTCGTTATAAGCAATCAATCTTTGAGTAAATATAACCGATTTAAACATGTCGCACCGGGGTAACATTATTACTTTTTCCAAATCAACGGAATATATAATTTCTCCTTCTTCTGGTTTCTTATTGGCATATTCTTTGTACAGCAGACGTGCATCTTTACTCCTTTTTATATGATTGGACCACCTCTGACACTCGGAACAATCATTTTGTAAATTTTCTTCAGAGTGTGGATGGATTTTAAAATGCTCACACATTTCGCATTCTTCGTGACCCAACGTTACAAAAAGATATATTTAACTTTTGTACTATTGAGCGGTATAAATCATAAGAACAAGTTATTTTAGGATTCTTCTCTTGAAAATTGCTAAACATATCTTTGATGTTTACATCACTTGGTAAATAACGTCGCTTAGGTGCATGTTCCCTACGATAATGAGATATCGATGGGTTGAAAGATTCTATATGTTTTTCTATTACTGTATGATCCAATTTATTATGAGGTAGACTTCCACGGTTTTTATGTGGCTTTGGTGAGATTAATGAGTTCGAAGATTTACAAAACCTCTGTAGAATTTTATCATTATTTTTGTGAAACCCTATAGTTGTAAGAAAAAAGGTTCTACAGACTGACTTACATTCTCCGTCCGCCGTTTTTAAAGAGTAGCTTAAAGTATTCGATCTTCGAGAATCTAATCCAACAGTTTTACGTTTTACGTTTGTCTGGCTAATGCTGGACAACATAAATTGATGCTGTTGTTGACGGTCTAGATTCCAGAACTGATTGTTTATATCAATTCTTCTTTCCTGATTTATTTTTGTGTTACATGTTTTCTTACAGTTATTACCACATCCATCCCTAACAGAATGTGAATCCTTTAGTTTATTCTGTTTAATTATTTTTCTTTCTCTAATTGAATATTTAAATTTTTTACGTCTTCGTTGTTCCCCTTTCTTAGTAAAGCGTGTGTCTATTTCTTTTTCATCTCTTTCTTCAATTTCTCTTCCACCATCTTCTAAACTGGCAGGCTGAAATTCATTTTTACAATTATAGCTGGCTAATTCAGGATTATTGTCCAATACGACCTCCATTGTCATATTTGTTCCCAAATCAGGTAGTTCCAACGTATTTACTTCAGCTTCTATAAAAGTTTCTGAATCTGAAAGCAAATTTGTAATGTTTGTTGTATCAACAGAATTTGCTGGAATTTGAATATCACTATTCTCCAATAAAACAATTGGCGCATTTTCAATAATATTTTCCCATTCCACACCACTACTAATGTATGTTGAGCTGGCCATAGCTAAGTCACACAACCTTTTTCCTCTACTTTTACTCATCTGAAATAAAAAAAAATGTTTTACACGACTTTCTATCCATAAACGCAAAAATTAGATTTTAATAAAATGCATTAATAAATGACAAATTATTTCGTTGTTAAGTATCTTCAATTTGTAAAAACATTGCAAAGAATCAGTAATTAAATGAAATAAGTAAATTCGCAATGAAATTGGTAGTACTTTTTTGTCGTGTAAAACAAATCAGACTACATCATCTAAAATAAAAAAATGTTTTACACGACTTTCTATCCATAAACACAAAAGTTAGATTGTAATAAAATGCATTAATAAATGACAAATTATTTCGTTATTAAGTATCTTCAATTTGTAAAAACATTGCAAAGAATCAGTAACTAAATAAGTAAATTCGCAATGAATTTCCTTTTTTTTGTCGTGTAAAACAAATCAGTCTACACATTTTAATTTGAGGTTATGGTAGCAAAATAAACAACTTACCTCTAAATCTGTAGTAAATCATTCACTATTCAATATTTCAATGTTTACAATTGAATATTTAAATACACACTTTAATATTACTAGGTTGTATTACACCAAAAATAAACAAATAAACTAAAAGAAATACTATTTTTGTGTATGATATGTCTAGACACGATGAATAAATGTGCTTACTATTATATAAAATTACTAAGCGATTCTGGCATTAAGTGACGTGTACTAAGCAGTTCCAGCCGTAACTGCACAAGTTCGTGTAGATACAACCATTATTGCCTAGTATCAGTAGTTACCGCCAAATTGCTTAGTATATAACGTATGCTTTGTAGATACCTCTAAATATATAGCCTAAAATATAATATTTGTAAAGTAGATACGACCAATTCGCTTTAGTATTAGATAGAATAAGGTGTAATTATTGACTAGACATTAATATCTCATTTTTGGAAAAAAGTGTAGATACCCCCTTTTCGCTTAGTAGGGCAGTATTGTTACTATTAAATATTAAGTTTTAAGTTTTTATTTGTATACTCTACTGGAATGTTGTCAAGTATTTTGGTTCAACAGATATAAGAACATGGAAAGGGAAGAAAAGAAAAAAAAAGGATATTTTTACTTTACATATGCAGATTCAATGCAGCAAATATTACATAGCATAACTATAGATTGTTTATCTTACTGTTTATAGGATGATTGATTTACTGTCTATATTATGAATGTCTTACCATAGTTATTTTTTAGGGGAAATTATTCAAAGAATAGTTTATACATTGGGCTGCTGACCAAAAACAAACACTTTCTTGCTCAAATATCTAAAATAGATTCAGTTTTTGCTGCAAAAAATAAATCAAGAAATTCAAAATGGTGTAGTTGTTCATTAATCTCACCAATTTAATTTTACAACTAATTTTTATTTTTACATTCATTCCGAATATATATTATGCACAGAATATTATATAAATCGATTTTTGACTCTTTAAATTGTTTTTGTAATAACTTGGTGATAGGCGATAATAGTGTTTTTTCTAGCTGATATTTATAATAAATAGAGTTTACAATGTTTATAAAT